GCCAATGCAATGTTACGTAGTGATGTCTCTATGTTAACTCCCTGTGGCAGGAACTTTGGGATTTGAGCCTTTGCAGACCATTTACATGCACAGAAACCTATATAAACCTATACACTCAAATACAGTTAAACCCCCAAAATGCATAATAGGGTCCCTTCGAAAAAATGTGTAAATTCAAGGAGACCTAGCTTCTATAAAGTATCAAGGCTGTTGCATTATTTACCCTTCAAGTAGTTACACAGCACAGTGGATTGTCTTGGTTAAACTAAATAGACAGTATTGGATTATTACTGATTGTATCCAAGGGAGTAGATGACGAACGGTTATATTGTCGAAGTCTTTAGTGTTTAACATCATTTCCATTTCAGATTCAATTATTGTTTGATTGTTCCTGATATAATTAGTGTGTGTGGGTGCATGAATAAGAACAGTGTATGGAAATGATGACCCTCTATAAGGACAGGTGCTTCTGTAATGGAGTCATTTTCTTTGTTATGATTGAGTTTAACAGTAATTGCTAGTTGGGGGGTATAAAGGATATGGGTGAATTACATTGAATTATGCAATGACTGCAGAGAAAGCTGGCAGTTTTCCATTTCAATCATGTGCAAGTTTATTTTGAACACAGTGATGGTCCACAGCTTTATTATTATGTATTCTTTGTATAGCAAAATACAGAAAATATGATCCTCGATAGAGTGATGCAGAGATGACTTAGTTTTGTAGGCAGCCCAGGAATAAGCATCGCAAGGGCTCCCTCGACAAAAAGCTATGGGATTTTTCCATTGGAATCAAGAATATTACAGAAAAAAGTATCTGTGGCAAACACACTTCACACATTTTGTTTAGCAGGATAATGTCGACATATTTACAACACTTTAATGAAGTGTAAATACAATTGACAGAAGTAAAAAGCTATGGGCTATACAAAAAACGACATGTGGCCAATGCTAAGCTAAAGGCGGCTAACATTTGAAGTGATAATGTTTAGCAGCCTCTTTTAGCCACTTGTTAGCAAACACTGTTGCTATGACACATTAAAGAGTCAGACATTCACCAGTGGGGGTATCTACTGTTGTCGTAGAACAAAACGTTAAAGTCTCTTCAGCCTGTGTTAACTACAGACCTTATTTCAGAGGTAAAATGCTGACTCACGTCCGGGTTTTAGGACTGCACCGCACTCTATCTGCAAGTCAATACAAGAGAATTGAATGCAGCCGCTGTCATAATCAAGCAGATGCAGCATTATAGTTATATAAATCACGCAAAGTAAGGCAAAGAAGTAAACAAAGCTTACAGAGAAATATAACTGTCGAAGACTTAAAAATAAAAGCAAAATATAGAAACACAGATACAGACGTCTGAGGCGAAGGACTTAGGAGTTAACATAGTGATACTCTGAGCCAAGCCATCCATAACTGCATCTTAATAAAGTCACAGAGTGGGAGGAGGGAACTTTATGTAGCACACTGCCAAGCATGAAGGACTGCATTAACATACATACTCCTTGACAGTGGAAACGGCCTTCACACACACATGGGAAACAGGTTCAACACACACTCACATTGTTCTTCTCTTTTAAAATCAATCGCAACTCTCTTATCAAAAACACACTCAACACTCTCCGTATGTCTCTATATCAACACACACACACACACACACACACACACACACACACACACACACACACACACACACACACACTCTCTAGTGAATGTGGGGTCAATAAATCTCCCCATTAGCATTGAGATGTCTTCATCATAGTCAGTGTTGTGGAGCTGCCGCTATGACTCCATTTCATGCCTGGCTTAATGCATATTTGACCTTGGGGTGATGCACACACACACACACACACACACACACACACACACACACACACACACACACACACACACACACACACATACACACACACACACACACACACACACACACATGCAAAAGCACATTATTGTGTAAGTGCCGGAGTGTGCTTACACACACTCATATACACACATATACCATATACCTCACATCAATGGATAAACGAACTGTATGAACACATTTAAACGATTATAAAACGCACAACTCCGACCGTGAAGCCAGCTGCCTGGAATATTCAGAGTCTCAGAGATGAAGGATATGTGCTGCTTTGTGTTAAAATGTATTTATCAAAAGAAAAACCAGTGGTAGGAGAAAGGGTTGATTGAGGAGTACTAAGGAAGGATGGAAAGAGTTTATAAAGATACATGGGATGGATTGAAGGGCTGGAGTTCATTCTTACTTGAACTATAGTAAGTCTGAAGGGGGAAGTGTGAAGTACATCCTGGTTGTGTTTCAGAGAGCAGACAGTTTCATTTCATTTCAAACCTTTATTTATCCAGATAAATCCCATTGAGATCATTGAACTCTTTTACAAGGGAGACCTGCTCAGTGTGTCCTTGCCTGTTCTCGGCTCTCTTTTTCTCTTCAACTCTTTACTCCTGTATTTCCTACACCTTTCCTCTCCAAATGTCTCTCCTGTCTCACATTTCTTTCACTCTCATCTGCCCTTTTTTCCGTGTTTCCTTTCTTCTTCCATGTCTTAATAGTGCAGTGCAGTGATGATGTATTGTTGCAAGCCGACCCGGAAGTTAGCGTCGCAAGGGCCCCCAGGACAAAGCAGGAACATCTCCACATATTAACACCATGTATACAATAGTTGAAGCGTAAATGAAATTGCCATAAGTAAAAATCTAATGTTAGCCTATAAAATAACTAAATTAGGATTGCTTGGCTGCGTATCACCACTGCTAAGATAAAGGCAGTTTAGTCACTTTTTTTTTACGTTGTAGAACAAAACGCGAAAATGTCTTCAGCCTAGGTTACCCATTATTTTAGGCATCTGGTCGCTTTCCACCTCTCCCCTTTCAGTCACTCATTCCAATTATTCATTCTGTCTTCTACTCTTTTATCAATCCTATCACACATCATCATGACTTAAGCTCGTAATACACAATTATACTATTTCGTTTTTTCAGCCCTTTGTCCTGTCTCTCAACACTAACAGGACACTGTCACAGTGGTAGCAGCAGACCCGTGTGGTCGGCTCATTCTTCATCCGTTTAGGGAAGCCAGTGTTTAGATTGGCTTATGGAGAAGCCACTTAACGGCACTAATGAATCCACAGCCATCATTAACATGCAAATAGCTCCATTAAGGAAACATAGAGTCCTGCAGTATTATATTACAAACCCTATTCCTTCTAAGACACACACATACACACTTCAGTGAGTAAACTGCCATACTGCAACAGCACTGAACAAAAGAACATTTATTAAAACCAACACAACTTTAACAACTCTCTTATAATGCGGGCATGGACATGTCATGCTTTTCCGGTTATTATCCGTCCCCTTGTGTGTTGTGTAGCTGTCTATGCATGTAAACGGTCTGCAGAGTCAAAAACCCTCAAAGTACACCCTGTAGCGAGTAAAACTCTAACACAGAAAATACCTGTCTATGCTGCCCCAGAACGCCTCGTTGGACATTTCTCTTTTTCCATTGTTTATTTCTTGGGTATAGTGACATAACGTAACGTCCGCGGAGCCGTTACGTTTGGACCAATCCGCGGACTTCCTCACACACACACTCGGCGGGACGTTCGAGACTCGCTGCTGCGAGGAGTGGACAGTGTGAGCTGGCTCACTGGTGTGGGGTCGGTGAGACAGAGAGACACCGCAGAACTCAGCCTGAGCACACACACAAACTCCCAGCCAGGCTGCGGGTGTGTGTGTGTCTCGCTGTCTCGCAGACGGCCACTGGGCTCACAGGGGGGGGGGCAGGAGCTCCAACAAGCCGTGTAGGACAGAGAGTGAATACACATACTATACAGAGATGCTGTATGAGAAACCAATGTGAGTTTGGAACATTGCAAAATATAAATCTATTCTAGTAGACCTCAACAATGGAATTATGATCAGTAGAAATGGCCATGACATGGGACCTTTAAGACATACAACTGCAACGAAAGTAACAAAAACAATGTAATATCCTTTTCAGTTTCACAGAACACAAATTGGATTATTTACATAATATGTTTACATGATTTTGTTGTGCAATAAAACAACCAGAGAAGTGATGGCTTGAGATGCCCTCACGAATGGCCCGATGCTGTTACGATTTGAGCCAAATTTGATCATTTCCTTTATCGTGTGTCCATCTGGTGTCAATTTCGGAACAGTGTGACGCGGGCTTTATGGAAAACTAAAATTAGGGTTAGGGTTCCCCAAAGTATTTCAATAATTTCAGTTCCCCAGGATTAGCTGAGAGGAAAAGAGAAGACAAGTGGTGGAAACAAATAGACCTTATATTAAATGAATCACAATGGTACATTGTTCTTCCTTCTCTAACGGAGAGTGAATGGAGCATTTGTATTGCTGCATCAAGTTTCCTCCACCAAAAGCGCTTTGGGACCTCTGTTTCAGCTCTTGACAATCCTTGATCAGTCCCTCCGTCCCACTGAACCTTCTTCCTCCATCTGTGCTGACAAATAAAACCCATGCTCTCATCCAATCAATCTGTCTGTTTGTTAATTGGTGGAGAGATATTCCAATTAGCCGTCCTATCGGCATGCCCACCAATCAAGGTGGTGTCAATCAAGGGTGTTAAATGACTCATTAATCTAACCATAAGCAGCCAATATGTATTTCTTCTAGACTATATTTTGGAGACATTTTAGAAATGATTGAGATATTTTTTATTATTTTATTATACAGTACTGTGAAAAGAGCCGTTCTGCATACTGAGTGGTTGTACCTTTGATACATGAAGTACATGTTGCCGTTTTCCCAACTTTTAGTACAATATTTTATGACATTGTTTTTTCTACTTTAACTTAATTAGTTATTCTTCCACCACCCAACTTTTCTCACCTGTGATGTGTCCATACTGTGCACGGTACTGAATGTGGGTGGGGGAATTATTATAGGTAGGATGTCTGTTGTCATGGTAACTTACTCTTTCTCTCTTTCTATTAACAGACAGTAGCCAGGCTTCGCTCGCCCAGCCCTCTCTGACCCTTCAGAGTTTTCCTTACGGAGGCTGTGAGTCTGTGGAGATCTCCTACCAGAGCGGTACATGCACAAAGCCTTGACACTGTGTTAGTTAGTTAGTACTTAGTAGGTTAGTAATTAGTTAGTAAGTTAGTCGGTTAGCTAGTTAGTTAGTTAGACCAATGTTATAATGTTTATACTTCATTGATAATGCTAAAGGTTTTGGTGCTAAAACGTATTACCAAAAAGTAGCTAACTGTGGGTGTCAGGTTTTCTCAGGTTATTTAGTTAGTCAGTTAGTTAAGTGTTAGCTGATTGGTGAGTTATAGTGTATAGAGGTTAGTAATTGAGGTTGTAACATGCCTGATACAAGTTGTTGTAAGCTTGTTTGACGATAAAACAATCGGACATAGCTAGCAAGTTAGTTTAAAAAGTCAGTGAGTGTGACGGGGTTCTATTCGTCCATTCGATACATAGGCTTAGTCGGTTGTTTAAGCTCCAAAAAACTGTATTTATAATCAGCCACAAAAAAATATATACTGTTCGACAAAAAGGTAAACAGTATAACGTAAATAAACAAAATCACAGTTTACCAAATTAGGTTGTCTGTCTCTCTAACCACATCCTAGCTGTTGCCTTCACTGCAACACCCTGCCGAATCACTCTTCCAGGGCCAACACCGTCCCTTTTGTACCCATAGCCCCTCCCCACAGGCTTACCGTCAACCGGTTACACAATTATCTCCAAACCACATTGTCAACATAAATGTAATTTCCTCAAACATGAGGAAACTATCCGACCCAAACATACACAGGTTAACTACCTCTTAACACAATCATTCCCCCTAATTAATAAACGCAAAATAAATAATAAATTGCATCCTATTTAAATCACGGAAGTGATGCGCCTCCGTCTTTTCCACCTTCCCTTTGCTGGGGAGACGGCGGCGAAACTATTATGGTGTAATATAGTTAAATGTATGTTTAAATAAGCGTGCACTTATGGTCGCGCTACAGAAAGGAAGGGGAATAGGTGGACGTTTTAGTGATGATTTAACCTTATTTATTGACGAACGGAAGAGAGCAGGAAATGTTTGGTGTGTGTGTGTGTGTGTGTGTGTGTGTGTGTGTGTGTGTGTGTGTGTGTGTGTGTGTGTGTGTCGCCGCTGCGGCTGTCAGTGGCGGAGTCAGTCACTCACCGCTCCGTCACAGTGAGATTTACTTATTTAACTATTCCCATCAATATACTGCGTTGTCTTATTCTTGGATAAAGCTCAAGACGCTACTTAGCTTATTTATTGATTGAGTAAAAGTTAGCTATTTTACTCAGCAGTTATTCAACAACATACACATACTAACTGCATCCCGCTGTTTATATAAAAACATTTTATTTCTGTACTGCAGGTCAGTTCCAGGCGGGTCAGTTTCAGCCAGCTATTCGAGTTGCAGACCTCCTGCAGCACATCACCCAGATGAAGTGTGGACAGGGCTACGGTTTCAAGGAGGAATATGAGGTGAATACACACACACACACACACACACACACACACACACACACACACACACACACACACACACACACACACACACACACACACACACACACACACACACACACACACAGAGGCTTATAATGAGAACAACAAGAACATCTTCAGATGGACAACATTACAAGCAGCCATTAGTAAGAAGGTCAAAGGTTTGCTGCTACAGCACATAGATAACATGTGTAACTAATAAACTGTTTGTTTGATGCCTGAATGTATCATTATTACCGCTGGTAAAATAGTGATTCAAAGAGAAAAGGATTGTCTTTTTTTATGTGACTTTTAAAAAGCCAATATCTGGATTGTATCTTAGCCTCTTGCAGCCCCTACTGTATGACCCTGAATAGCATATCAGCAATATCAGCATTCAAAGTCAAAACAAGAATCAAAGGCAGATTTGACTGAAAATATATTTGAATTGCTCACAAAATACTTACTGCACAATAAAAATGATCATTATAGTAAATGGAGTAAAACTGCGTCAGACGAGACGAGATGCCTTTTTGCATTGAGCTGAAATCTCATACATCACTCATTTGCATAAGAAAACATTTAAAAGAGAGTTGTTGTTTTTTTACTGCAGATTGATTTTTGACTTTTCCGAGGCACAGATGATCAGATTTGAGTTCACATTTCAATAAATGATATGAAAATAAAACACGTAAACGGCATCTCCGGCTTGGTAATTAGATTCCTTTATTTTGCAAACGCTGCATCCATATTTCCTCTCCGTCCCTGCTGTCGCTTCCCAGTTGTGCAGTGTGTGTATGTGTGTGTGAAGAGAGAGATTGGATTTGGTTTTATGGCTGGAGACCCTTATCAATTATTAATCCTTTACCTCATCAATATTGATGATCAGCAAAACAAACAGGGACGGTAAATCTAACTCTCCTCTCCTTACTTTCTTTCTTTGTGTTACAGTTTGTGTGGTGCAGTGTTTAGAAGCTAGCATTACAGGCTCCTTTCACCAAAAAGACAATAGGATTGTTCTTGTGAATGACGGAATAATGCAGAAATACGATTTTTGGTAAACACACCAAATATAATATATTTACACGTTTTGTTCGGCAGGATAATCTACACATATAACCAACGCTTTTATAATAGTTGAAGTTTAGTGCGTGCAATCACCAGAAGTAAAAAGCTAACGTTAGGCTAAAGAAAAAAATCACCAACGCTAAGCTAAAGGTGGCTAATGCTCATGTGATGTTCAGACATGTTTACTGACGTATTTTATTCCGTAGTAAACCTAAACAACTCTTGAACTTGTGTTAATCACTGATCAAAATGCAAGCATCTAACCAAAACACAAACATGTGATAAATGCTAACCCATTCTGTCTTTACTCTGGTTTTGTCCCAAGTTTCTTCTTTTTCATAACACCTTGTTCTCCCCCCGACTTCAATTTCCCTTTCAATCTTTGCTCAGCTTGAGTCATCGTTTCATTTAGCTTTTACTCCTATTTTTTTCTTACTCTCTCCTTCTTTTCCAGTTTCCTAATCTTCTGTTCATCCCATGTCATGTTTCAGTTTGTGTCAGACTTCCTTAATACTGTCTCCCACACCCCTGCTCTCTGCTGCTTCTGTTTGTCTTCCTCTCTCTGCCGGGCCTGACTGGTTGTTTGGAGCACTTCATCAAAAGCAGACGTTTTTACAATCATTCTTTTTCATACGCACTCTTCCATGGGATCCTTTTCCTTCCAAATCCTCATTCCCTTGCTTTGGTCATGAATCCTTGTTAATAGAATCCTTCCTGTCTTCACTTTGTTCTTACTTCTTTTACTTTGTGTCCGTCCCTGAAAATGAATCTTTGAAAAGACACCAGGAACAGTCTGCTTCTCTCTATCACCCGCTCCTATTTTCAAAATAATGAACATTTTCTATTAGCAGCTCTGCATGCATGTTGAAAATTGTCCCTCTGTGATGCCGTACGTTTTGCTTTCATTTGCTTCCTGTCACTTTGGTTTATACCCACTGATACCTTTCAGGAGTGTGTGTGTGTGTGTGTGTGTGTGTGTGTGTGTGTGTGTGTGTGTGTGTGTGTGTGTGTGTGTGTGTGTGTGTGTGTGTGTGTGTGTGTGTGTGTGTGTGTATGTGTGGCCTAGCATTACTATACGTGTGGGGACCTGAATATGTTTACGCAGTCATGTGTGGGGACTCGCCTCCCTTATGGGGACAAAATGGAGGTCCCCATAAGGGGAATCACTCATTTTAGGGTGAAGACTTGGTTAGGGTTAGGGTAAGGGTAAGGGTAAGGTTAAGGGTAAGGGTTAGGGTTAGGCATGTGTTGGTTATGGTTAAGGTTAGGATAAGTCTCCAGGAAATGCATGTAAGTCAATGTAATGTCCCCTGAAGTGATGTATACATGGTATGTGTGTGTGTGTGTGTTTTCATGAAGACAAAGACACAAAATAAGAATAATATCAATAATCTGAAAAAATATAATACAAATTCAATATTTGTGGATGTGTGCGTGTCCATCACCACACCCCATATGGTGTGTTCTTGTCTCTGTGTGTGTGTGTGATGTGACCTCCAGTGCTGAAGCCCATTAACCCCACTAACAGCGACAGCAGCCTCGCTGTCAGAGTCGCTCCCCACTGGGATTACACCTTTGGAATTAAAATGAATATTGTGCATAAAGACCGGTCAGTTGGTCAGGTTGTACTGTTGTGAATATCCCAACTATTTTAATTTTGATATGATAAAGGAAATGTATGTTCACATTTTGAGAATGAGGTCAAACGTTTCTTCAGCTAGTTTCCTGTAGAACTGTATAACAAAATATATTTTTGAATGTTATTTATTGTGATAAACAAAGACGCTGTGATTCCATCATGTTTCAAAGTGGTCGTGATTTCATAAATATAATTTATTCAGTATGTTGAACCGTGATTGCAGAAATTGTAACTTAATTACTCAATCTATAATACAGCAGAGTATGTGTGTGTGTGTGTGTGTGTGTGTGTGTGTGTGTGTGTGTGTGTGTGTGTGTGGTGTGTGTGTGTGTGTGTGTGTGTGTGTTTGTGTGTGTGTGTGTGTGTGTGTGTGTGTGTGTGTGTGTTTGTGTGTGTGTGTGTGTGTGTGTGTGTGTGTGTGTGTGTATTTGTGTGTGTGTGTGTGTGTGTGTGTGTGTGTGTGTGTGTGTGTGTATTTGTGTGTGTGTGTGTGTGTGTGTGTGTGTCGTGTCCTCTGTCCACCTACCTTTTTCTTTTTTAATACATAACCTTTATAATCCTGAAAAGTGGAATTTGCATGAGAGGAGTGTGATTAAGAATTGTTTTGGCCAACCCACACCTTAAGCAAATACATACACACACACACACACACACACACACACACTTGCATAACCCTCCGACAGAATGACCCTATCTAAGATGTCTAAAAACTAATATTAGCAGCTTTCTTATTTTACAAATGTTTGCAACACAAACACACACAGATGCACACACTACACACACAGTCTCATAGGCCCATATGCCACTTTAAGCGAACCCATTGTCTGCTTGAAAGAGCGATACGTTTAGGTGTCTGTTTCTCTGTCACAGTGCATTTGTGCGTGTGTGTGTGTGTGTGTGTGTGTGTGTGTTTGTGTGCATATAGGTCATATTACTGTATGACAGTGAAAGCTGTTTGGTTTTCTTAAGCTCTTAATGGACTAAAAAAGCACAGTACTCTATGGTGAGAATGATTGTGCGTGTGTGTGTGTGTGTGTGTGTATGTGCGTGCGTGTATATGTGTGTGTGACCTCTTCCAGTGTCTTCTAACGATTGTTCTAAATTAGACCGGTGTCCATATGGCGACCTTAGTGAGTTGGGGTTTGGTTTGAAAGTGATCGTACACACACACATACACACACAGACACACACACACACACAGACACAGACACACAACCATTTCTGTATTATATATAGGGTTGCAAAGGGGCGGAACACAAAGAGCCCTTCTCCCTCCAAAAAGTCCCATTAAACATGCAAATCTTCCTTCAAGCAATCCTCTGCATTTTGGCTAAACCCTTTCAGTCAATGGGCTCTTCCTGGGCCTCATCAACATCACACTCTGAGTCTTCCTCTTCAGTGTCACTGCCTTGTTGAGGATGGCTCTGTCAGGCTCAAAGAGTCTTAGGTTTGCCCGAATGCCAAGTTCCCTATGAAGAGCCAACCTTCAATTTAGAAAATTCCCAGTTTATTCCCATAAATTCCCGTTAATTCCCATAGAAAGTTTCCATCTTTGAAAATTCCCGGAATTTTGCAACCCTAATTATATACAGTACTGTTTGCATGCCACATTAGATTGCATTCTCACACACTCATACTCCATAGATGAAGGAACTTGTAGTGAATGCTTCTCACATTAAGTACATGCTTATCCACACATCAACACACTTTCTGTTCTTGCTGTGTTTGTAAAGCTTTTCACATGGGCCCAGCATCCCAGCAGGGGGAAAGAACAATATGTCTTCTCTCCACTGAAAAAAAAAGGCCCATTCCACAACTTCTTTAGTTTTCACACACCCCGCAGTCTTTACCTGCACTTTTTCATGTTGTGCTCCATCCACTGTGAAGTTCCTCCTCACTGCTGGTTGCATTTTAATTCAGTTTGAGCGCTTTACACCTGCCAATGAGGTTGGTCTTGATTGGCATCGTCATTGGCCATCCTGTTGGTCTGTTTATTAGAAAGGTATCCTAGAGTTGGTTGAAATACTGCCGACAATTACCTGGCTAAAGCATAATAAAAAATACCTGATTGAGATTAATAGAGCTGGGAATCTGCCAGTACAATTTCTTGCCACAACTTCTGTGCTGTGTTCACATGCGAGCTGAAAGGTCTAACAATAAGACTTAAAGTTGAGCAGCACTGCTTTTATGTACTTCTATTTCATATTACACCCATTGCAAATCCCTTCATAATGCTTACATATAACAGGACTACATAAGTGCCACTTTATAAACATTCAAATCCTTCTAGAAATTGTATTTTAAACAAAAGTGTTTACTTAAATGTTGTCTATGGATTGGTCTGTCTCTGAACACTTTCTCACTTTGAATGATACAATTGTTCAATAAAAACTACCACTAGTAGAAAGAAAAAAAAAGCATTACATACTGTAGTTTGAAATACTATGTGAAATCACAAAATCACAATGTTTTATGTGTATTTGGGCTGCATAATTCCGATAAGAATACAAAAATAAACTTTGATTATTGCCATATTTATTTAGCGATATTAGATAGAAAGACAATTTTTGAAACATTATTCTCATTATCATTGAAAAATATATGTGATAATGGTGCTATTCTTCAGGAGAAACAATTATTTGTAATAGAGAAGAATACTGATTGCGTGATACAATACTTGATTGTATCTGTCAATTGAACCAGATGAACAATTTCCATTAGTTAAACTGCAAGAATGAATCTCAGACATAAAGACATGGATGACCTGCAACTTTTTATTATTACACTCTGACAAATCAGAAGTCATTATACTTGGAACAAACTGTCCAACAATATCATTTCTTCGGATGGTGTTACCATGACTTCCAGCACCACTGTAAAACATCTTGGTGTCATCTTTGACAAGGATTTGTCTTTTAAATCACATATAAAGCACATTTCAAGGACTGTCTACTTCCATCCACGGAATATTTCAAAAATCAGGCACATCCTAAATCACAACAATGTAGAAACACTCATCCATGCTTTTATCACCTCCAGGCTGGATTATTGCAATTCCCTTTTATCCGGCTGTCTGAACTCATCATTAAAGACCCCTCAATTCATACAAAATGCTGCAGCACGGGTTTTAACGGGAACGAAAAAGACGGACCACATCACTCCTGTTTTAGCAGCATTGCACTGGCTCCCAGTTCAGTCCAGGATTGATTTTAAAATACTTTTACTCACATACAAAGCGCTCATTGGCCAGGGACCATCCTACCTACAGGATCTTTTAATCTCCTATTGCCCCTCTAGGGCATTAAGATCCCAGAGTGCAGGTCTGTTGGTGGTTCCCAGAGTCCACAAAAAAAGATCAGGTGCTAGAGCTTTCGGCTACCAAGCCCCGTTCCTCTGGAACCAACTTCCAGTGACGATTAGGGAGGCAGACAGTGTCCACACTTTTAAGAGTAGGCTGAAGACTTTCCTCTTTGGTACAGCGTACAGTTAGGACTGGTTTTAAACCCCCTTTTAAACATCCTCATGGACCCTTCGTTTTATGGAATTGTAATTATTGTACTCCAACTGTATTTGTGTCATTGTGTTAATACCTCTTTTAATTGGTATTTTCACATTCATCTTGTAAGATTCGTTTGTTGTTTTTACATTGTTTTACATTGTTTTACATTGTCAATTGTGTTTGTTGATTTGTGAAGCCCTCTGAGACAAATATGATTTGTGATATTGGGCTATATAAATAAACTTGAATTGAATTGATTAAGATATGTTCACATCATTTGCCTTAAAAACTTGTATTATTATTTTGTTGTTGCTTTAATCAAAAGTGAATTGCTGTTAGCTTTGCCTTCTTGTGAAAACTCTCCTTAAACCTTCCCTGCCCTATGTGGCACAGAGTCAGTTTTCTCTGCATTAATATTCATGTTACTATTTTAACTTCTGCCGGCCCATGTGTCAGTGTACAAGCTCTGGGCATCATGCCATATGTGCATGCATATTTTTGTGTTCATACCTCAACATGAAACTCTTGTGCACGTGTTCATGTGTGTGTCCAGGCCCTGGCAGAGGGACAGACTGCGCCCTGGGAGACGGCCAAGAAGGACGAGAACCGCAACAAGAATCGCTATGGCAACATCATCGCTTGTGAGTACTGCAATGACATGGACGGACTAAGGAGTACTCTTTGCTAAATATGGCTATGGTCCTTTAGCTCAGTTTGAATTAAGTTAGGCCTGGTGAAATTTGGTTTGGTTACATTTAGTCTGGGTTGGTTTTGGTTTGGTTACATTGTGTCTGTGTTGGTTTTGGTTTGGCTTATTTCAGTTATGTTGGTCTAAGTCTGGTCCGATTTGGTTTGTTGGTTCTTTTTGTGTCATTTAACTTCAATTAGATGTTTATTAGATACAGATAACTTTCTCTGTTTAGAGTCCTGCCTGAACAAAGCTTGGTTTGGTTTGTTTCCTTGTCATTTTCAGTTGCTAGCGGTTTGGTAAAGTAATATCATGACTGAATGGGTACGCCTCAAACACCTTCAAGTAATCCCCATGTTGTGTTAGAAGATAGCCAAAGAGACAGATTAGGACTGTTTAACTGTTTATGTACTTCTCAAAATTGATTTTAACATTTCAATTATCTGAAGGTACCAGAAGTGAGAATCACACACACAAAGTGTGGTCGGATGAATAGTTTTTGGATATCTTTTCTGGTTGTAATACAAGTCTTAGTATCAGACTATTTGAAGTGTCATAAACAATCTAATTGTGTTATTGGGTCAAAAACTAAGGTATCGTCAGGAACCTGGTATAAAAAGATTTCAGCTTTAAGCGAGAGGTTTGAAAATACACATTAGAGGTTTCTCAATACTCTAATTTCCCCTCCTCGACTCCTCGACTCCTCGGTCCTCCGGTAGTGACCCGGAAATGGATTTCAGCGCGCCATGTTGAAGGACATCTAATTTCTCTAAATGCACTTCGAGGACCAAGGATCGAGCGTCGAGGAGACTCTCTGGAGGAGCTCTAACCGAGGAGACACTGATGGGTCCTCCACGGCTCCTCCGCGGATGCATTTCCGGGAACGGTGGAGGCATTACGCACGGCCGGACTTATCTCAGCCAATGACAGCTCTGCATGCATCCCCTGGATATTATTTTAGAAACTGCTTGAACGGCAACGCGATGTTTACAGAGAGAACAGCTGTGAGGTCCGTGCAGAAAGCAGAGCAGTGTGTAAAATATATATCACTCAGTATAACAGGCCCACATTACTCTCTGTATTTGTATGCTGTAGTTTAGTAGATATCTACAAACAAAGAGTCGATATTTTTCTAAGACCATTTAGTGCTTCACATAATAAAATACACAACGGCTTATGCTTTAGGAGCTGTAGGTGTGTGTGGTACAGTGTGTAGGTGTGTGTGGTACAGTGTGTAGGTTTGACTTTTGGCCCATAATTTCAATTCCCCATTTCAGCGACCAGAGAGAGGGGGGGGGGGATATATCCAGTCTCTGATTGTGTTACGTTATTATGAGAGTGCTCTCATACTTGTTTGATTCTGAAATTGTATATATTTATATAAATATATGTGTGTGTGTGTCCCCGCATCTGTAGCCTGTTATTGTCTCATTATACCGCACTGTGAATGAATCAAAGTAAATATATAAGTGGTCATGAACACATCTGTCCATCAGACAGAGGGCTGCTGTGCCTCCTGTCATCATTAATGGACGTCTCTTTAAAATGACCGCTCAGAGGAGAGGAGTTCTCATTTCTCTAACCGCCTGCTGCTTCCCCTCCTCTCTCCTCGGTTCCCCTCCTCAGTCCTCCACTCGCATCTCCTGTGGGCGGGACTAAGTCTCAAGGATAAGAGTCGAGGAGGGGAAATTAGAGTATTGAGAAACCTCTATTGATTCTACTAAGGAGGAGGGATAAGGTCCAACCATAGTTTTAATAAAGCGTGCTGAGGTACCATGTTTACTGGGTGAAGCGACCGTCCTTCAGCTGGAGGACACCATCTGCCCTGAAGCGTCCTTCACAGAGTCTGACTGACTCCTCCAGCTCAGGGTGGGTCCCACTGATGGACCTTACCCCCTGCTGAGAGCCAGATGCCAATAGAACCTGGTTTTTGGCGGGACCAATTCACTAGACGCTTCAGAAGGATGACTCAGTGGCACCTTTTCAATCAAAGCATGTTTAATAGTAAATAACAAAAAAGATATGCAGCTTGAATAAGATACATACTTTTTCTAGAAGTTATATCAAAGTGTACTCACAGTACAGGGAACCACTGTTGCGAAAATAACCCTTTTTGCAGTGGGAATATTTTTCATCATATGATCAAAGTTTGCAGCCTTTATTTTATTCAAAGAGACTTTTGTCAAAGTTAAGCTTCATTTTGTCGAGACAGGCTGTTGTAATGATGTTCAGACGTAGCCAACTGCTTTTAGCATGAATGTGTGTTTGGCCATTAGAGTGTGAATTTGCATGTGAATAGGGTGCGGGTTTTTGCTATGATTTTGTGTGCACTAATAATGTGTGTGCGCTTGATATTGTATGAGGCCACCTCCAGCCTCTATTAGGATGCAACAATAGAAGCAGATTGTTAGGTTGAAGTTGTATTAAATGAGTGTGTGTGTGCCAGTAGACCCAAGAGCACATACATGACGAGTACAGTCCAGAAGACTGCTTTCATGTTGGCAGTTCGTGTGTGTGTGTGTGCATATACCGCTCCGTGCACATGTCTCATTACGAGGGTTTAGATGTCAAGGCAAAGACACTGCACTAACCTGAAGGCTTTCAAATGAAACATTGCTCTGAAATGAAATAGCCTGTCAAAGACTTGATAGCCAACAGGAATTATGATACATTTGCTATTAGTACAAATCCTTTAATTACAAGGGCCTGGTAATGGAAACTGTCCATCTTGCTTGCTGTGATTGTACAAAGGCTCATTTTCTAGAGAAAATGTTTTAAAGGGTAATTTTCTTCATGTCTTTATCAGAACAAGGACATGTGGTGAGAGTGGCAGGACGCTTGGCTGCGGCTAAAACTTTAAATATGGGTTAAAGGGTCTTTATTCTTCAGTCAGGTTCACCTCTAATTCCCCTTTTCTAAGTGTGGATGTGCCTTCTGTTTTTTCAGCATGAGAGCAATAATCTCAGAACAAACAGCCTCAAGGAAGGACACAATGTCTCTTACACACTATGCTGGAAATGGAAATGTGGAATCATTACAATAGTTGATTTATATAGCAATACTCCTGAACAATATTTACAAATTAGTTGCAAACACTGGCAGCTATGAAGAATACCTGTCCTGATCCACTGCTTTCAAAAAAAGTGTCGACATGACCATATATTCCAAAAGACAATGGACTTTATTAACATCATTTACATAAAACAGACATCAGTCGTTTGTGCATTTTCCTTTTTTTCCCTTGCAGTCAACATATACTATTATATATATTGTCGTTTGGCAACTATAGAGCAAACACCCCCCTAATTGTCCCCCAAGGCATATTTACGCTATCACGGGTTTGTGAGTCGCTTTTGACAAAAGTGTCAGCTCATTTAATTTGAATGACACTCATGTAGTAACATAGTGTTACTTTACACCCATCCCTGTGTTACTTATTTCCTCCTGACTGACAGGATAAAAAGTAAAAATGCGTACCTTCTGTTCAAACTCAAATCATTTTAAATGTGTATTGGTTTCTACCATTTCGACCAGGAGGAAAAATGGTTTTGAAAAAAAAAATAATAATCATAATTTGAAAAATTAGTGATTCAAAAATAATATGATACAGTACAGTACAAGTACGTCTGGGTCTCTGTGTTTCATTCAAGCTCGACTCTGTGTGTGTTAAACAATACAATTTAAAAGGGGAGCAATTTGTAAAATATCCATAAAGAAAAAGTAAATCTGTTTCCAGTTCTGTTTCAAATGGGTGTTGAGAGATGTATCCATAGATCTCTTCATGTTGCTCTCAAAGTGCACCAGATTGATGCTTTTAAGTTCAATATTTAAAAATAAATCTTCCCGGGGGAGCATGCCCCCGGACCCCCCTATGTGAGGTCCACACACCACCTATACAAATAGCCCTTGACCCCTGCTTACACTTATATGCCGTGAGCTGATTATCGAGCCTTCATTGTAACAGTCGCGGGTACACTGTGTATACAGTATGCTTGGGGAGTGTTGCAGTAGAACATTCCACTGTAGCGACCGGTACATTAATGGGAAACCCTAAATGTTTGAGCACCCTCTATGAAACGTCAAGCTACCCCACAGCACCCCCAAAATAAATCTCTGGCGCCGCCACTGAGCCTGCAACCCCGTTTTGAAGAAATGTGCAGTGCAGAACAGGCTCATTGCAGCCACTCATGATAAGACACACTTTTTTACCAAATATCAGCATTTTCTTTCTTTCACACACACTTATGGACCATTGTTTTATTATCACTGTTCTAGCAAAGTGATTTCTTTTTTTCTTTTTTTAAAGGAATGCTCACGTTCATATTGATGAACACTCAGAATCTGACCATACAAATCCCCTCATTTGACTTCTCTGTCACACACTTCCTCACTTCCTCCCTCTCTATCTCTCAGCAGTTTGGAAAGGGGCTGAGTTGAAGTGTTAACACACCGTCCTCCGGCCATCTGCCAAACACAAACGGCTGATGCCATGTTTGAAATCCCGTCAGCGCGCAGACTAAATGTTAATCTAGCAGCCTCCTGCCCCCCTGTCCCCTTAAAGCCTCCCCTCCCTCCCCCCCACTCCCAACCTTGATGTCCCCTCCTCATTCTGTTCACTTCTCTTTCTTCAATTGTTCTTTACTCCTTCACTTCCTTGTACTTCTTCATCTCTATACCCTTCTGTGGCCGACTCTCCTCCCTCTTTTTTTCACCAATCCCCATTTTCTCTCCTTCCTATTTTCCTTTTGGGATTTTCCTCTGCTCCATCTGTTCCCCCTTATGTTTTTCTATTTTCTCATGTCATTCCTCTCTATTTTCTGTAATATCCAACCTATTTTCCATTCAAATGTCTTACTTGCATTTCCAATCATTTTGTTTGACCTTTTCTTTTAAAACCTCTCTTCTCTAACAGTACCCTTTACCCCCAAGCATCACCCTTCTAATTTTCTAAGC